TTGTCTTTCTTGTGGTTGCCGTCTGTTTTACAACCATCTAAGCAAACATTCACGTATGAAGTTACGGCGACCGAATTAGCGTCATCAGAAGTATTACGGCCTACAATTATTTAAGTGTCTTAAATAGTCTTCTACACAGCCGTTTTAGTGTCGTCACGCAACGCTCCTTCCACTGAAAGCGGCCGTGTAGCAGACTATTATTTAAGCGGCGCGAAAATAATTTTTTATTATGTATTGCTAGTTTACTGCGTCTTTCAAATGCCTATTTTGATGCACGAGTGGATTTTGTCACCCTCCTGAAACTTGGTAGTTCCTTGAGGACTAAATTAAAACAAAGCGGAATTTAAGATAAGACATAAAAAAACAGTCGCTTTTATATTTACAACCAATCCTCCCTCATTCTACAGTGTTTTTAGTTTACAGATTCTTGTTTTTTTCGTCCTGTGAAGAACGAGATATGGTACACGTTTACAGCACTTGATTCGTCTTAGCATAGCATAACGAGATATCTTCACATAAATTATGATTGATAGCCCTTCGTTGGTCAGGGGCACCTGACGGCGATTTCCTCCTAAATGCATCCTAGCATCCTAGGACAACTTCAGTCTTTTCGAAATTACAAGGGCTTCAACATTATTTTCCGAAAAATTTAGCTTCCAATTGAAAGTTTTAGGAAAGTGAGAATTTTATCGTATTTTCGTTTCCGAAAATTTTAGGATTCCTTAATTCTCAACGAAAAATAGCTTAACTTGGGGAGTGAAATGGAAAAAACTAAACTTCAGAAAATCGTAAGGATTTATTAGATAAGCTTCGAAAATTGTACATGCAAGGAACGGTCATCTAGAAATGTTTAGCCTTCCTAAACCTATAGAAAATTCAAGGCAGTTTTTGTTTCTGCGATTTAATTACCTCCGTTCGTCTCAACATGGCTTAAAGAAATATATTAAACTAATTTATTAAACTTCATTTCTCTGTGCATTACTGCTAATAAATATTCCGGTGGCATAACTATAATTTTCAGGCGACATAACTTCACTGCCTCGCCTGCGATAGCTGGCCTCTTTGCGATTCCGGTCAACAGCCGACAGCCGGAGGAATTGGTTTACACCGATCTCGCGTTAATTCCAGGCTAGACCACCATTAAGTCGTGATTTTCAAATGGCTACGGTTACGATCAAA